GAGAGAATAGGTAAAGACAGTGGTAAATAGCAGATAGTCTCATAATAATTCAGGTTTGCCTTTGGGATGTGATTAGAGAAGAAACCTTACAGCCCACTGTGCCGCCTCTATACTTTCTTTTCTTGTTGGTGACCTAGAACCAGCTAGGAGAGGAAAGAGGAATGCAGCATCTAGTGCTTATCGGAAAGTTAAACTAATAATAACTGTTGTTACCTAATAATAAATATAATTATTATGAAATGCTTATACATATATTTATTGAGAACTATGTGTCATTTTCTGAACCAAGGACTTCACAGGATTATATCATCAAATCCTAACCTGAACTCTTTTTGATAGTGCTGTTATTCTCTCTGTTATATCAGTGAGAAAACCTTGCCTCAGAAAATCGAGTCTTAAAGAGGTTAAACAACTTGTCCCTGTTCATGTTTTTTAAATACAAAGAAGGCTTATGAACTCCCGATTTTCTGATGGCAAAATCAGTCCTCCTAACCACTATGTCAGTTAATAATATCATCATTATATCATTGTAAACTGTATAAATCTTTCATATGTTGACTTTACAGAAATATAAATAGTCATTTTCCCTCTTAGAGACCATGCTGACTCTGTCCGTAACATCTAGAACACAACTAAGAATCAGAAATGCATTAAAAATATCCCTGGAAAGCAAACCACTATTTCAAAGACCATTCAGCGTGATCTAGAATTGCACGTCAATTGAATCTTCACACCCTCATTTATCAGACTTCTCTTCAGCTCTTATTAGTTATAAAAAAAAAGAATGTATTAGGAAGTGGAAAGGTGATGATGACAAGCTGACAACAGCCTTGTCACTCTGTATTGAAACCAAGAGTGCCACAAATCACAAAATGATTCTGTGTCAACAATCCTGACTGAAAAGTACTTTTAATAAATTTGTTTAATAAAGTAGAAGAATGAAAAATAAATGTTATATTTTTGTATAAAACACTTTTTATTTTTAAAAAAGCTTGGTGATGTTAAATAATATAAGCTTTAGTTTCCTTTCAAATTTCCTTAGGGAAAATACCCCATTCCCTTGGGTTGGATTCTCCACGTTTTGTATCCTTGAAAGAATGAGACACTGCCTTATGAGTGTATGTGAGGGTTAATCTATTCATTCTTAATATTAACTAGTCAACCTCAGAGCACACAGTTTTTCACTTGTGTGAGGTTTCAGAATAAATCTATAAAGTGAAAAATATGTATATACTTATATGCTCACACGTTTTTTAGTTTTGCTGGATGTTCATGGGTTAATTATTTCATTTGCTTTCTCTGTATTGAGTAGTTACAATATTGCACAGTTTTATGAAACTAAGATTACTTTGGAGTATTCATAGCTCAGTTTTATAAATCTTGGCAGCCAGATAAACTGGAATACCAGTTTAACTTTCCTACAGGTGATTATGTTAATTGAGTATGGACAACTGTGGGCTGCAGAGCAGCAAAGAACCTTAGAAATTGCTCGACCTCTATGCTTTACAAGTGAGGAAGCTGACGCCCAGATAGGTAAAATGACTGCAAAGTGACAGCGTCCAGACACAACCTCGTCTTTCTGACTCAAGGCTCCTTGCTCTTCTTCCTGTAACCCTCTCATGGAGAATCTGTCCAGTCTGGGGTTAGAGAAAAGTTTAAGTACCGAACGGTTTCTTTTTCTAATCATCTCATCATTTATGTTTTTTTTATTATTGTGTGTCTTAGATATGCCAATGTTAAGAAGTGTAGTAATGAGGGTCGTGCCTTGATGCAATTGGATTTTCAACAGTTTTTAATGAAACTTGAAAAACTAACAGATATTAGACCCATTCCTGATAAAGAATTTGTGGAAACCTATATTAAAGCATACTACCTAACTGAGAATGACATGGAGCGCTGGATCAAAGAGCACAGGGTGAGAGCTTGAAAGCAGTTAATTAAGTGTTTATTTCTTTTTCCTTTGTTCTGTTCTTATCTGGTATATAATTCAAAGTCATGAGTGTGAAATATAAAGAAACATTTGCTTTCTTAGCATGAGACACTTAGACCATTTCCTTACCACATTCACACTGTGTCCTTGCAATGCCCTTTGCCTAATCAGATCTTTTTGAGACCTTTGTGAACTGTAACAGTAATTATCTGGAAAGATAGCCAGAGTCTGAGCTTAGCTGTATTTACCCTGAAGCTGTGATGGAGGAAAAGGCTGACTTGGTTAACATCAAGACAAACTGAATACAGCAATACTGAAATGATTTACAAGCTAAAGTCTTTATGTAACTTAAATCTTCTCACAGCCTTCAACAATGAATGAATTGGTGGCATCCTGAACAGTGAATATATTAACATTTAAATAGCTAAATGTAGCTTCATCAGTCATTAGAGATTTTACCTTATGTGTAGATGAGATTATTTTTCTTTAGTATGGATACATAGATCAGTAGAGAAAAATGCTGTTTATTAAGTGTTCTTTAAGATGCTGAGTTATTGACACAGTTCAAATCAACATATATCACCAGAGCATGCTTACTACGGGGAGCTTTTCTGTATGATTGTTATATCATTTGTCTAGACAAGCTATATGTGAAGACAAATTTAGAAAATATAGGATGTGTGAAGATTAACACCGAATCTTATTTCTTCAGTAACTCTAGCATTCACATTTACTTATGCTATGAACATTATTGGTATAAGCTAGGTAAATTTTTATTTCATTTGACTACGTAAGGAAATAAGTAATTTTATTTACTTAATCAGGCTCATCCTTTCTGGTTTCAACACTTGAAATGACTCTTAGCCTGGACTGGAAGTCTGAGTTTGTGTACATGGGCCTACTTGTAGGTCAGGTTCAGATCTTTGGGAGCAAAGTAGAAATGTACATGTTATTTTCAATGATTTCAGAAATGAGAAAAATGTCACCACTTTTAGTCCCCCTGACCTCTGACATCAGAGAACCAAAATGCTAACCCAGATGCAGATGGACTGGTGAATGTTGTAGGAAGGTCCATTTAGTAAAGTAATCTGGAAACACTTCGGGGTTGGTACTGAGTGAGGAAGGAGTTTGTGGAAAGAGTACAAGTCATTGAGGAGAAAAAGCATAGCTCTTAGATCTATGATTTGATGTAAGAATGATGCCCACTTTAGGTTTTCCTCTTTTCGTATAGTGAACTAAAATTTTTAGTTTAGAATTTTGGAAGTTTTAACTAACCAATATTTGTAATTTGGTGAAATTTCCCCAGCAACAAGGACTTCCCTGTCTTCCAGGGAACTCCCCACAATGTCTGTCTAGTCCAGTGCTTGATGTCAATGGAACTCGCTAAGTGTAGACTGACTGACTTAAGAGACATTACCAGGTGCTTACAGGAGCTCTCGGAGGTCAGATACACAAACTGAGCTGTTTGCTGAGTTTTTAAAATGAGCTTTTTCTCATTTTTAGTAGTTACCTCCAGTGAAGACATGTTCTTTTCTTATTAGATGATAGACACAACTCTCTCTCCCTGTCTGGACTCTTGCTGTTGTCACCCTCCAGAACCTCATCAATATGTAAAACTTTCTGATGAGTCCCTATTCATTCTCATCCTAGCAACTTGTTATCTGAAATTCAGGAACCAAATAGATTTGTACAGCAAAAAAAATAGGTATAGTCTTAATTTTACTGCTAGCGGCCAATTACGGAGGGTTTAAAAACCAGCAACTTTCTGATCTTTGTTACCTTATTCATTTATTATATCTCAGAAGAGTAGTTGTTCTGTGGTTAGAGATTTTTGTCTTTTAACGTAAAATGTTTGCAAAATATAGAGTATCAGAAAGTACTTATTCAGTAGCATTTTAAAAATTTGAAAGTCAGTATATTTTGATAACTTAATAACAAAGACTGTCACAGAAACAATCATAAAGTATGTGTTTGTAAAAATAACAAAAAGCATAGGCTTGTCAGATGATCTGCCATATTAAAAAGATTCTAGTGCTTCCTGTTTCAAATGGTATTTTTTTCCCTGTTATTAAATCTTAGTAAAGAGTTTGTCTTTCATGGCTCAGCTATAATTTCCACCATTTTCCACTGGTTTATAATGCTCAGTAACCATCCATTGATACCAGAATGTCTGCCTGTCCTTTCGTTGCATTGATCAAATACATGTCTTTCAGTGTACTAATATTGGGTCTTCTTTTTTCGAGCAGGAATATTCAACGAAGCAGCTGACCAATCTGGTAAATGTTTGCCTGGGATCCCATATCAATAAAAAAGCAAGACAGAAACTTCTGGCAGCTATAGATGATATAGACAGACCCAAAAGATAATGAACACAATTATTTTTCCTCAATGACATTGATCTTCTCTCAACATATGTGACATGAAAGGCAATTTTTCATGCACTTCTGACAACTGTCTGCTAAGAATTCTTTGTGCATGTTCTTTCCAACTGGAAAGTGGAAACCATTGACGTTTGTGTGGTGTTCTGAAATGATTTTTATATGCTCCGATCTCTTCTCTTCAACTTTAATCTCATTTGTTGTATTCCTTTCCTGAAATGATATTATTGCCTCCTCGTAACTATTGGTGTATGATTATCATTATGCATTTTACAGAAGAATGGACTGACTGTAAGTATATAGTTATAAGTAACAGTGACACTATACCCATGGGCAGCTTTTGGAGAATGAATTTATGTTGGCATTTTTCTACCCTCTGAAGTCGGTTCTGAAGCGTACTGTGAGACGGGTAATGTACAGTATCTTCTAATTATGAGCACTGCATGAGAATTGAAAAGCACATGTAAGTAAAATAGTTGAAAAGTCAGTATGTTCTTTGTTTTTAAATGTCAGAAGTTTATGTCAGGGTTAATTTGGTAATAATATAGTGATCATAAATGATAAAATTTAATAAATGCTGTATACTCCAACATGACCAGCCTCTGTGAGACTGCATTTTGATATTTTTCCACATCAGGCAGGTTTCATGAAACTATAGTGGAATTTTCTTAGCACACTCTAATTTTAATCATCTTATGTCTTGAAATCAGTGGTGAAAAGTAATTTCATTGGGTATACCTTTCAGGGCCTGAACAACATACAGAATAGTGATCATGGCACTTTTTTTTTATTTTTAATGTGGGACATTTTTTTATATAAGCTTTGTTCTCTTTGAATTCAGCTTTTGTCTTAGGCCAGCAAAACCTGGTTTGGCTAACTCAGGGAAAGAACTGTGTTAGTCAAGCATAAGTTTAGGATCAAATGTTAGCCTTTCTTAAATATCTGCTTTGTATCACAGATGTAAAATATTGTGAGTTTAACCAATGATAAACTTTGGAACGCAGTCTTTAGTAACTATACTCTTCCTCTAAACTTTGCTTTTCTACCAATATATATGACATGAAAATCAGTTTCCCATGCGCTCCTGCCAACTGTCTGATAAGGAATTTTTTGCATGTCTTTTCTGAATAACGAGTACAAGGCGCCTCAGCTTGTGTAGTGTTGGTGCAGGATTACTGGACATGACCAACAACATCAATAGCTCACAGAATCCTGAAGCATCTCGTGAGAAGTGTGCCTTGTATCCTGTGAGTCTCCTGGTAGCTGAGGTGCTGAAGTGATGGCAAAGGGTGGCATGTGGTCAGGCATGGAGACGATAAGGAGATCATTGCCACTCGTTGTCCATCAGTCCCTGCAGATATCCATGACCAGCACAGTATAATGTGAAGCACTGTTAGAATATGTCTGTGTGTGGGTGTTTGTGTTTGTGTCTGTGTAATGAATTTTTTGTTTTCAGTCTCTCAACTCACTGTTCATCTGCTGATTTAATATTGACAGTAAATCTTTCCTCTTGTAAAAAGGTATGAGTTTGTTGCCATTATGATCCACTTGTGGAACTAGACTGTGTACCTATATAGCAGATTGTGCCGGTAGCCATTATCTGGCTATATACACAGCCACTTGAAGAAAACAAACATGAGATAAGTTTGGTCCTTGTGTTTCAATCCTATATAGTCAACAAGCACAGAGCTAATCAATCTCATTTCTTTCTCAATTGACTAGGAGCTGCTTATTTCTTCTTTTTTTACATGGATTTTATAATTGGCTTCCTTTAATTTCTACTTAAGTCACTCTAGATAGTATGAACAGCAATTATCTGCCTGGTAAAGGTGTTTTCCAGGGTTAGGAGTTAATACAAAAGAACTATTTACCTTGTTAGAGCCTCAGCCGTTTAGTCAGACCTTTTAACATACCCATACTTTGCTTTTTCCATCTTCAAAATAAAAATGGTAAATCTTTTTAATGCTTTTTGAAAAAAGTGGGGGTTTTTTTGCATTAAAAAGTAGTTTAATAAGTGCTAAAGGTTCTAAAATGGCGAACCGCACGGTAAAGGATGCGCACAGCATCCACGGCACCAACCCTCAATATCTGGTGGAGAAGATCATTCGGACGCGAATCTATGAGTCCAAGTACTGGAAAGAGGAGTGCTTTGGGCTTACCGCTGAACTTGTAGTCGATAAAGCCATGGAGTTAAGGTTTGTGGGTGGCGTCTATGGTGGCAACATAAAGCCAACTCCCTTTCTGTGTTTGACCTTGAAGATGCTTCAGATTCAACCGGAGAAGGATATTATTGTTGAGTTTATAAAGAATGAAGACTTCAAGTATGTCCGCATGTTGGGAGCCCTTTACATGAGGCTGACAGGCACTGCAATTGATTGCTACAAATCCTTGGAGCCTCTGTACAACGACTATAGAAAAATCAAGAGCCAGAACCGAAATGGGGAGTTTGAACTGATGCACGTAGATGAGTTCATTGATGAACTACTGCATAGTGAGAGAGTATGTGATATCATTCTGCCCCGACTACAGAAACGCTATGTGCTCGAGGAAGCTGAGCAGCTGGAGCCTCGGGTTAGCGCTCTAGAAGAAGACATGGATGACGTGGAGTCTAGTGAAGAGGAGGAAGAGGAGGATGAGAAGTTGGAGCGAGTACCATCACCCGATCACCGGAGGAGAAGCTACCGCGACTTGGACAAGCCCCGTCGCTCTCCCACACTGCGCTACAGGAGGAGTAGGAGCCGTTCTCCCAGAAGGCGGAGTCGGTCTCCAAAAAGGAGGAGCCCCTCCCCTCGCCGAGAAAGACATCGGAGCAAGAGTCCGAGACGGCACCGCAGCAGGTCCCGAGATAGACGGCACAGATCCCGCTCCAAGTCCCCAGGTCATCACAGTAGTCACAGACACAGGAGCCACTCAAAGTCTCCTGAAAGATCTAAGAAAAGCCACAAGAAGAGCCGGAGAGGGAATGAGTAATGGACTCAGTTTGGGTTTAGTCCCAATGGCCTCCTTCGGATATGAAGGCATCTGTCTATGTGGAAAGATTAAAATCTACTCCCCAGGCAGCTATGAAAATATTTTAGGGTTTTTTTTAACCTAAAAGTTTCTCCACCTTTTTTTTAAATTTTTTTTTTTAATGCAAGAGGTGCTGAGTTTTGTATCTCTTTGAATCCTAATCCACGTGTTTAAGGGATAACGCTTCCCAAGGACTGCTTTTGACCCCTTTGTACAACCAGCCTTGACTGTACTCAAATATATGAGGGTAGAAAGGATTTGAAGGGTGGAGGGTATGAGTGACAAGGAGAGGATGTGGCCACCTAGTGATCCTTTTGTTATTAAATTTGACACACCATTCTAAAAAAAAATAATAATAATAAGTGCTAAAAATATCAAAACAATAATAGATTTGAATCATGAAACTACTTAATAAGAGTTACCAGACATTTCTCAAATACATTATGCAGTGATATTGAATTATAACCATGTAATATTTTGTGAAACTAATTTTAAAATGAATTGAATTGAAAAGCTTGAAAATGTAAATGAAATTATACATATTCCAAAAACTTTATTGTTATAAAAAATGTCTTTTTGTGTCTGTTTTCCTTAACTTTGACATTTTATATGAAAGTGTCTTATAGAATTCAAGATTTTAAGTTGATACGGTCAATTATCCCCTGAGAAAGAATGATTATTTGTACAAATTCATTGTCTTGCATTAAAAAATGCTAAGGAGATACATAGCAATTCAAGTGAATTAGTTTACTTCTCTTTATAAAACCTATAGAGATCTTATAAGTTCACTTTAACTAATAAGCTCATTTGCTGAACTTACAAATTGAAATAGGATTTCTCTAGAAGCCGGGCATGTGATATTTTATCACATCTTTAAGCAGAATTTCTCATGAAAGTTTCTACTTAGCTGAGTGCTCAAGTGAAACTTCAAGTTCGATTAAATAGCTTTTTTTTTTTACCGACTCATTAAAATGTAGGCATAAAAAAGGCTTATGCTTCAATTACCTTTGATAGTTATCTTTTGTAATGAAAAATTGGATCTGAAGACGAATGACAAGTTGTGCTCAGAGCAAAAAGAAGTGGTCCGGGGGAAATACATTTATATTTGATATTTATCCTTTGGAGTAATTTTAATACAGACTTATTGGTTTACAAAATGATATTTAACTCCTGACAATGATTAATGACAAGAGAATTATTAATCCTGTGATGTAAGCTTGTTAAATGTTAAGACCAGCGCAGCTTTTTACAGATATTTTTTTATTTTTATAAAAAGTATTTGTTCAGTTCTTTTCACACACAAATTTTTAAAGGCTATCAAAAAGATTAAGCTGCACAGCTCTCCCAAGGACAAAACTATGTCAGATTTTGTACATGAGAATTCTTAACTCTTTCAAAATGAGCAGGGGAAGGTAGTTCTTAGTTCTGATGCTATTTTTCTTTTCTTTAAAGATTTTTTTTTAATTGGGGAATTGGGGGATGGAAACAGCGCTGGGGAATTGGGGGAAGGGGAACAGACAAGTTGCTGTCCTTTTTGTTCTTCAGTCTAGTTGTGTAGGACATTGCTTCACTGGCCCAAGTTGGCACTATCACTGCGCTCTTCCCAGGTGAGGCAGATCAGTCACCAGCTTCTGGACGGCTGCTCAAGGCGGCTGCTGGTGACACACAGTAGCCCATGGCAACCCACTGCAGCAGGGGCTGCAGCCTACGCTATCACCAGCAACTCGTGGCAGCCCAGCTCCAGGTTGAGCTGTTGTTCAGCATCTTAGCTGTAGAGGGTAGTGTCACTGGCCCTCATATGTGGGATCCGAATCGGGGCCCTCTGGCGTCCCAAGCCAGCTCTTAACCAATGCACCACTTGGCCTGCCCTGATGCTATTTTTCTTGATTAGCACATCCTTGTGTGACTATTACGAAGTATACCTGCATCATTTTTTTTTTAAATTGAAAACAAAACCATAACTAAATATTCACCTTCTTTTGGTAGGGATGTTGGGGGAGGGGGCAGGAACTTGGGCAGGATTTTTTTACTGTAAAGATATGATTTATTTCTAACATTTTTTGTTTTTGATGAAGAGCCATTTTTGTAACTTACTTCAGCACTCACTTCTTGATCTCAAGACCGAGAGGACTCTGTCCTGCTGAGGATTTCCAGATTTGCTCTTTAAAGAGTTTTTCATCCAGAGCTGAGCTATTCAATCCAGAAAGGGGATTTTCTTGATCAACAACCTGTATTTTTTTCTGTTTCTTACCAATTCCTAGTCTCTTGTTTCTGCCTATCAGTAACTAGAAGGATTTATGTTTTAAAGAGACGACATTTCCATACAGAGAGCATTTTATCCAGCTACTGCAAGCAGCATACCAATCTTTGCCTTAAACAGAGGGAACGTTTTGGCCAGGATTTCCATTTCAACAGCGGTTGCTTCTGGAGCCTACACTAAAGTGTAATTACACCCTCAGGTAACCATTGGAAGACAGTTTTTGCTGACCACCTGCTATCTACTTTTACCTTTCTTCTGTTACCCATATGTCCTAATGACAGCTTCACCTTTAAGAATCCAACCAAGATACCATCCTCACTATGAAACTTACCCTTCTTAGGAGTAGGTGCTATGGAGAAAAAGCCATAGGGAATGGTGGTTGTCGTGCTGGTAATACAATTTCAACAAGGGAGATTGGAAAAGGTCTCACTTGGCAGGAAGTGAGGAGGCTACCAATGCAGTTATCTGGGGTAGAGTGTTCCAGGCCTAGGGTGAGGGCTGCTGTCCCAGGAAGAGTAAGGAGCCAGTGTGGCTGCAGTGAGCGGGAAGGGTGAGAGCACAGCCGTTGTGGCAGGACGGCTCCCACACAGCGAAGGCCTGTGAGCCATGGAGAGGACCTAGGGTTTCCTTTCACTTGGAGAGTTGAGAACAGAGTGGACCCCTGGTTTCTGACTTAGGTGCAAAATCACCTTACCTGTATATTTGAGAAAAGGCCGCAGGGGGACATCGACTGAAGCAACGGGACAAAGTAAGAAGCTAATACAGTAAAACAAGAGAGGCATGATGGGGGCTTGGCTTGCAGTAGTGTGGATGTGGTGAAGGGTGGTCAGACTCGGGCATACTTCAGAGGTAGAGATGATAGGATTTGTTGATTGATGTGATTGAGAAAAGAGGAATTAAAGATGATTGTAAGACTTTTGCTCAAGAAAGTAGAAGTCTTTGGGAGAACTGGATTTGTGAAGATCAAGAGACCAGTTTTAGAGAGGTGAGTTTGACATATCTTGAGATACAGTGTTGAGGGTATAGAAGAGGCAGCTGCACCCATGAATCTGGACAGGAGGTCAGGGCTGCAGATGTAAATGTGGGTCTCAGTATTTTACATAAAGCCAATGTTTTCTTTAGGGGGCAGAAAAATTTTACTTGTTTCATGAATATTAATGAGTATTAGCATGCAGGCTCGGTCCCTTCAGAGTTGCCATCTGCCTTGCAGTTGGGCTCAGGACAATTTCCACATCACACAGGATGGGTTAAGGATTAAGCTTTCTTGGGGAAGCTTACAAGCCTGGGACACCAAAAAAAGAGAAGACATTGTCCCCCCACACACACACACCCTTGCCATTGTCACCATGAGAGATGAGACAGGGCTAGCAGAGTACGGAGACTGTACGAGAGGAGCGTCTTTTTAAAATAGCAAATATGAGAGCAGCTCCCCACCTGGTGACCTGGGGCCTGTGGACATCGTGTTTCCTTTGGCTGGAAGGAAGAAGCCATCTCCTTCAGGAAGGTGAGTCCCAGTGCGGCCCCTCCCCTCGTTAGCTCGTCATCCAGGCAACCTGCATAAGCTCCAGTGTCACACCAGTGTCTGTCATGTGTCAGACACTGGCTGGTCTCTAGTGGATTGGGGAGATAGTGCCTGTCCTCAGGGAGCTTAAATCTAGCAGCATAAACAGCTGTCAGACAAACATTTCATTCCGGGGGAGTATTCCAAAGGAAAATTCTGAAGTGGGAATTAGGAAAGACCACTGAGGAAGAGACATTGAAAGAGGAGACAGGATGAGTAGGAGTTAGGTGAGGAGGCTAAGGGAGGAGTGTGCTTGAGGATCAGAGAGGCCAGTGTGGTTGGCACACAGGAGGGAGGGGACAAGGGCACAGAGAAGACTGAGGAGCTGTGGTGAACTGAGATGTCGTGTGTAGCTGAGCAGGAGACACACGAATAAAGCAGCAGATGTTATTCAGTAATGAGTGGCAAGCATTTTGAGATGTGGACAATGCAGGTCAGGCACTCGGATTATAATTTTAATCTCTGATTCACCTCCACTGGTCCATCACCTCGGGGGAGGAGGGAGTCTGTGTAAAGGATGGAAGGGTCCAGAACATCATCTGTGTGTTCCCATGTGCATCTTGGCAGCTCTTAGCACAGAACCTCACTTAGCTCAAAACTACACGATAGATGAAGTGGTCGAATGGATGAAATGCCAGTCCTCGGGCCCCTTGCGCTACAATTCTCCCCTATGGTGTCCTGAACAGCTGGTCAGTTTCTCTGGGCAGGACTGTCACGGGTATACTTTACACTCCAGAGCTCCTTGTACTGGATCAGGAGTGGAATAAACATAACGTGTTTATTAACCTCTCAATATCGTGAAATGAGGATTAATTACTCAAGGATTGTTGAAGCGAGGAGCACACTAGCACTTGTAGCAGAAACATTAGCAGTTTGAAAAGAAGCAATAACTTACTTCAGTTCCTTGAAACATGTTTAATACCTGCAGGCCGTCTGAGAAGAACGCTTAACTTGTTTAGCAGATTGCCCTAGCCCAGTGGTTCTCCAAGTGTGGTTCCCAGACCAGCAGCCTCAGCATTACCTGGGAACTTGTTAGAGAAGCACATTCTCAGGCGCCATCAGAGACCTATGGAATCAGAAACCCTGGAAGCGAGGCCCAGCAATCGATGTTTTCACAAGCCCTGATGCCTGCTCAAGTTTGGGAACCACTGCCTTCAAACACACGTACACTGGATGAAGTGACCCAGGAGAGTTGTTCGCCTGGAACTTTCTAGTGTAGCTATCCAGGCAGACAGCTGAAAAGGCCCTTCTTTCTGATTTTAGACAATACTTTATTTCCACTTTAAGAATTGAAATAAAACTTTGAGCGTGGTCCTCCCCTCTGAGCCTCTATGAGTGACTAGTGTTTGGACAGGCCACTAAACATGTGTGTCTCTCTCACACTGACTTGAGTGGAATGAGAAACATTCCCCCAAGAGACCTTTAATTGGTGCAGGCGTCATGACCAGTGAGACACGTGGGACTCAGGACTAACGGATAACATGTATCATGTTTTACAGAGATTTGGTCTTTGATTCTCTCAGCAATTAATTGAGTCACACGGAGAAGCCAGTTGTCAATGTGGGAAGGAGAGCCGGGCATCAGGTGGTTATTGTGAATCACCTGTTGTAAAGTTTCACTTTGCTGACAGTCAGTACCCCCAATCTAGGAAGTGCTGAGACATCTGATAGATGGGTTAATACACA